AAAAGCTGGAAGTGGCACTATGGCTCAAGTGGTAGAGCGCTAGCCTTGAGCTGAAGAGCCAAGGGACAGCACCCAGGCCCAGAGTTCAGGCCCCCACAACCGGCAAAAAAAAAAAAAAAATGAATTGTAGTATTTGCTGGGTGTTGGTGGCTCACGCCTGTAATCCCAGCTACTCAGGAGGCTGAGATCTGAGGATCACGGTTCAAAGCCAGCCCGGGCAGGAAAAGTCCATGAGACTCTTATCTCCAATAAACCACCAGAAAACCGGAAGTGGCGCTGTGGCTCAAGTGGTAGAGTGATCTCCTTGAGCTGAAGAGCTCAGGGATAGCGCCCAGGCCCAGAGTTCAAGCCCATGGCTGACCAAAAAAAAAAAAAAAAGAATTGTAGTATTTTTCAAATCAATGCAAAAGTTAAGAAGATATAAAGTACAACATAAAACTTGAAAGAAGCTTGGTATTTATCTAGATGTTCCAAAACCCATGAATCAAGTTTAGTATGAGAGAATACATGCAAAAAATGATTAAAATATGACATGCATGACATATAAATTACATACATGATATATGACATATGCATGGCATATATGCAACATATGCATATAGGCCAATAAAGAATAATGTGTATTTTATATTTTTGAACAATGTCTATTATATTCATGTTATAAATATCCCTTTGTACAATTCCTCTATGCTAATACTGTTTTTAAAGGAAAATGATTTAATGGCTTCTGAATAATTATGTCTGTGAAGATGACACTTCTTAGATACTAAGTACTCAGTAGGCAAATCATGAACTTCTTAACAAATGACAAGGTTTTGTATCACAAGATCCTACTTTATCAAAAAAACTACTGGTATTATCACTTGTTACCTTAAATTCAACTGTGTCACAACTATGACTTGAAACACAGCAGTAAATTGACAACATTTCTCAAAATACGTCCAGAAGTTTGAATGGTTTTAACTAAGGTCTATATTAGACCCTATTCATATAAATGGCAAAACTTCTGTCCGTTTTCATTTGTGCTCCTTTTGTGACCCAATAGCCCTCCCATCCCTCTTGATGATATACTTGATTGGAATAGTGCACATACTGAAAGGTGAAATACAACACAGACCACTCCATAGCAGCCAATGTCATTATATTTCCTGCTGGCATTTCCAGTTTGTCAGAAATCTGCAGAAGTCAAGAGTACTACTTAAACTATGTACATAGCTTAGGTGCCAACTCTTGCCACTACGTACCCAAGAAATACCTAACAATTGTGTCAAGAGCTTCATTCTAAACACTGTTTACTGCTAGGATGCCAGGGCTGTCCAAGGGAAGGGATTTAAAAGAACAGCACTTCTGTTCTCTATTTCTATGAAAAACATCAACCCCGTGTGTCTGAATTTCATCTGCTTCTAAAGAAATTCAAATTGCACACTTCACTAGAATACTTTCTCCAGAACTGCCAGAAAGGCCAGATTCTTTGTGACAGAATTTTGAAGTACAGTACCAACGTCTTTGCCAGAAATGTCCAAGTCTTGTGCAAGGGAAGAGGTACCGTGGAGGTTGAATCAGGAGGACTTAGTAATCAATTGGAATGAGATATTACGGAAGAGTCAAGGATTGCCCCAAATGTCTGGCATGCACTACTTGGAGCTGTTCAGTATGCTGGGAGCACAGAAGGAGAGATTTGGGAACATTTCAATTTCAGAAATATGAGGCCAGAGGTGTTTCTGATGGTGTCTAAATAAACATGACATCTAGGCAGTCGGTGGTACACATCGAAAGCTCAACATAGGGTTGGCCTGGAACCTAACACTGCTCCAATAGGGATCTGAAAGGTCCCCAAATGCCCATGTGTTTAGAAGGCTTTCTTCCCCATGCCAGGCATCATACCTGTAATCCTAGCTACTCAAGAGCTGGCATTAGCATCAGCAGCCCCCATTTCATCAGCAAGGTCCCTGACAAAAGCAGCAATGTGGAGCAAGAGGCTGAGGCTGCTGGCTCTATGCTGCCCAGGCACAAGGCATCAAATTGGGCCTTTCAGTTTCCTTATCTGTAACTTGGAGGTAAAGGAGGAAATTGACTCAAAAGCTATCAATACAAAAATGGGTTAATCTCTGTCAAAGATACCCTGCATGTGGCAACACTCAATTCATTTTAGTCATTATTATCAAGTTAGGGAGAAAGGTAAAGATCTTTATTGCCAAGGCCAACTATGCTTGAAGCGCCTTTCCGAGTTCAGATAGAAAATGAGGGTGAACCCTGGCTGGGCCCTGGAGAGAGAGGTAAGCTGGAGGGCTGCTGTTGGTGGCTCACCTGCTCTACCTGTTCTCCTGTCCTGGCTCATGCTGCACCTGTGATTTCTCATGCAGCAGTTGAAAGCAACTTTGCATGCTGGGGGTCTGGAGGGAAAAGGACTGTCTTTCTAGGTAAAAACCATCCTTTAGTCAATCACACGTCCTCTTTTCTGTGTTGGCACAAAAGCTCAGAGATCAGTGGGCATTTAGATGTGTGGTTTTGCCTGTGGGAAACACCAATGCTATATTTAAATGAAACACTACAAAGTTAATTTAAAAATAGCACTTAGGAATTAATAGCCTAAGAACTTCCACAAGTAAGTAATCCAAAAACCCAAAGCAGCAATTTTTTAAAAAAATGGACAAATGACATGGATAAGAGGTTATTTCTACATAGATACAGATCACCAACAGCAATGATCAGCCAGGCAATGCAAATCTAAATCACCATGAGATACCACTTATTTAAAACAATCAAAAGGAAAACAAATGTCAGTGTGGACATAGGAAAAACTGGAGCCCTTGTACATTGCTAGGGGAATGGAAAATGGAAAAATGTTAATTTAAAAAACTTAGGTACAGAATTACCATAAGACCCAATAATTCCATTTCTGAGTACAGACATGTAAGAAATAAAAGCCTAGCCTTAAGAGACATCTATACATCAATATTCATTGCAGCCAAAAGGTAGAAGCAACTCAAATGGTGATCAATCAATCGGCAAGTGCATTAACAAAGTATGATATATAAGAAAAATGTGATCATAGTCAGCCTACTAAAGGAAATTCTGATATATCTTGCAATATAGATGAACCTGGAAAACATGAAGTGAAATAAACCAATCAAACAAGGACAAATGCTTCATGACTATACTTATCTGTGGCATGTAGTCAAATTCATAGACCCAGAAAGTAGAAAGGTGGTTGGCAGGACCTGAAGTGAGGAGACATAAGGAGGCATTGTTTAATAGATGCTCAATTTCTGTTCTGTAATATGTAGAGTGTTGTGGATGGATGACGGTAATGACAACTCAAGAATGCGAGTACAGTTAATACCTCTGAACTGTATGATGAAAAATAGTTAAAGATGATGCCTGTGTTTCCCCGTAATAAACCCACCAAATCCCAAATCCCAGCATGTCATAACAGTCTCACTGCGATAGAAACTTTATTCAGTTTCTAGGCTCTGTGCTAACGGAGAGAAAAGAAGTTTTGCCCTCTTTAGTGTGTGTTGGTTCTGGGGTTTGAACTCAGAGCCCACGGGGGGGAGGAGGAGGACAGAGGCTGACCATGAGCTCCATTTGCTCAAATGTAGTGCTCCACCTCTTGAGCCACAGCTCCACTTCTGGTGGTTATTTGGAGATGAGAGTCTCACAGACTTTCCTGTCCCAACTGGCTTTGAACTGCAACCCTCAGATCTTAGCCTCCTGAGTAGCTAGAGTTATAGGTATGAGCCGCTAGTTTCTAGTTATTTTGTGATAGCAATAGAAACATTGAGTAAGACAAGTTTTTGTTTTTTTGTCAGTCGTGGGGCCTGAACTCTGGGCCTGGGCACAATCCTTCAGCTCTTCAGCTCAAGGCTAGCACTCTACCATTTGAGCCACAGCACCACTTCTGGCCTTTTCTGCTTATGTGGTGCTGAGGAATCAAACCCAGCGCTTATGTGGCGCTGAGGAATCAAACCCAGGGCCTCATGCATGCAAGGCAAACACTCTACCACTGAGCCACCTTCCTAGCCTCAAGTAAGACAAGTTTTATCCAAGATAGGTACATAAGACTGAGGCTGAGATCTGAGGATTGCTGGTCTAAGCCAGCCCAGACAGAAAAGCTCTGTGAAACTTTTTTTTTTGTCTGTCATGGGGCTTGAACTCTGGGCCCTAGCACTGTCCCTCAGCTCCTCAGCTCAAGGCAAGTGCTCTACCACTTGAGCTGCAGCACACTTCTGGTTTTCTGCTGGTTTATTGGAGATAAGAGTCTCATGGACTTTCCTGCCCAGGCTGGCTTTGAACCGCGATCCTCAGATCTCAGCCTCCTGAGTAGCTAGAATTACAGGCATGAGCCACCGGTGCCTGGTTCTGAGAAACTCTTATCTCCAATGAACCACTCAGAAAAAGCTGGAAGTAGCACTGTGGTTCAAGTGGTAGGGGCTAGCCTTGAGCACAAAGAGGCTCAAGGATGGCACCTGGGCCTTGAATTCAAGTCCCAGGGCCAGCAAAAAAACAAAAACAAAAACAAAAAACACCCCCCCCCCAAAAAAAAACAACAAAAAATCCTGATTAATACTCCACAGGAAATTTTTTAGAAATGGAAACACAGAAAGTAGTGATAGAAAAAGTTGGCTGCTATAAATGTTATCTTCTGAAAACACTTCTACAGTAAGAGAATTGCTAAATCTACTATAAACCATAGATTAGTTATTCTCCTGAAACGTAGGTTTGTAGCATAGAAACTCCGTTTTCCAGAATATCTGTGTTACTCAGACTATAATTTTCTCCATAATACATTAAGATGGTCACCAGAGACAACACACAGGAGGTTTGGGCCAAAGGTTTTAAGTGTCAGAGGACAACTGGATTTGAGGATGGAGTCCTGGAAAGAAGAACAGCCAAGGGAAGGAATTGGGAGGTGAGAGTCGTCCACACTTTGCTAATGCATGTCAAGGCTGGGGGGCTGTCCCTAGAGTTAAACCCAGCATTAAAAGAGATGCTTCAGCCACTTGAAATGCAGAAACATTTATTTTGGTTTCCTTCATTGTTTTTGGAAATTCTGTTTTGGTTTATAAAACATAGAAATAGCCAACACTTAAAGCAAACATTCAAAACCCCAATGTGACAAATTATTGGATTTTTGTGCAATTAAGAATATGTATCTGAAGTTAAGCTACCAAATAGTGTTATTACAACAACAACTGCTTAGCACAGGCCTGTTGTGTCGGTCTAGAACACACGGTACGCATGTGCCCAACAACAGTGGCTCTCAAAGTATACGTGATAGCTCAATTCACTCAAAACTGTGGCAAGGTCTCACAACAAAGTGAAATGCAGTTAATTTACCAAATTAACTTCTAAAAAAAAATCCCTTGAGAAATGAATCCCAGAAAATTCTTTTTTTTAAATCCAGATTTCTACATCCCAGAATTTTGGCTTGTCAAATACATTTCATAGAAATCAGGTAGTATTATAAGAACATTTGCTTATACTGTCCATTTCAATGGGTACCCAAGTATGTTCCTTTAATATTTTTGAAGATGTGCTTTGCCTGAGAGTGAGTGGGGGGGGTAGTTGAGGGGAAGCAAGTTAATCACATAATTATTTCATATGAAAACCACATTAAAAGCCCATTGCCATTCATTACAAACAGTGAGTGGTTCAGTGAAGGTCAAGTAGACAGCGCTATGTAGGCATCACAGTTGAACATGGTTGATCCAGGTAATTCTTTCTTGAAAAGCTGTCTTCACTGTAGAGTCTAAGGCAGGATTTTTCATAACCCCTGGCAGGGTAAGGGAGGGAGGGAGCCAAATCTGGAGAAAAGTCTAAGAGCATCTTGTGGTTCAAGCCAGAGAAGCTATTGTCTCTGACTAGCCATTCTTCCTTCCAAGATTGGGCACCACATTATTCTGAGGTGGAGCTGTCCTTTGGTTTAAGTCCCTGCAGGATCAACAGGGGACTGTCCTGAACCCTTACAGAGGGTCGAGTGACTCTGTGTGAGGTGGGAAAGAGAAAGTGGCAGGGACTGTAAAAGAAATCTCTGGTCCGTTTGTGACAGTCCTCCAGCCGGGACACGTGTTCTTAATTGTGAAAGGGACCACTTCTCTCCAGTGCACTGTACTCTTCAGAGCAGCAGAGCTGCACAGTTTGCAGCAAGTAGCAGACATCTCAGAAACAGCGAAGTCCTAACTCCTTGGTTAGAAAAACAGGAAGGGAGACAAGAAGTTTTCACACCCACCTTATTAAATGAGAAAGTCTCAAATAACTTAAGCACTTTTTATAGTTTTCCCCTTAACAATTTTTAAGGCTCATTTTGGAAATTGTGTTTCACCATGAACATAGTCTGCAACACGAGGTTGACGGTAAGGCAGTGTTCCATTTCCTCTAATATTCCTATGGCAAGACCCCGAATGGACAAATCAGACATGGACATTTCCTTCCCTATGCTTGCTGCAGACAGTTACCAATGTGAAGGCCATCGGTAGAAGAAGGGATTGTAGAGGTGCCATTGCTTCCAAGATTTCTTCCTCCTCACATTACATCTTGATAGTGGAATACAGTTCATCTATCTGTGACCTGAAATAGTTCCGTAGCTCTGGCCTTTTTGCCTTCATTGTTGGAGTCAGAAGGCCATTGTCAACAGAAAATAATTCAGTATGTAGAGCAATGCCTTTGACCTGCAGATAACAAGGGATGTTAAGAAAGGGAAAGGACACACGCAAGGCCACCTAAAAAGTCATAAACAAAACAAAACAAAACAGCCAGGTGCCGGTGGCTCACACCTGTAATCCTAGCTTCTCAGGATGCTGAGATCTAATGATCAAGGTTCAAAGCCAGCCCAGGCAGGAAAGTCCATGAGACTTTTATCGCCAGTTAACCACTAGAAAACCGGAAGTGGCACTGAGGCTCAAGTGGCAGAATGCTGGCCTTGAGCTGAAGAGCTAGGGGACAGCACCCAGGCCCAGAGATCAAGCCCCATGACCAAAAAACAAACACAAACAAACAAAACACCCCTCCGCCCCAGTGTATAAGCCCTTGGTGATGATGTTGATGAACCCCTTCCAGGCATTTAAGCCATCATCTCCTTTACCCAAGCTTTACTCTCCCAACATAGGGCAGGAAGGCTATGGAGAGAGAATTCAGGAAGGAATCAGGAATCCTGACCTTCAGGAAAAGAGGAATCATTAACACTCTCTCCCCCCTACTCCCCATCAAACTACTCCATCATTCATTTCTTCTCTTTTCTTTTTTCTTTTGTTGGTCATGGGGCTTAGACTCAGGGTCTAGGCACTGTCCCTGAGCTTTTGTACTCAAAGGTAGCACTCTACTACTTGGAGCCACAGCACCACTTCTGGTTTTCTGGTGGTTAATTGGAGACAAGAATCTCATGGACTTCCCTGCCTGGACTGGCTTCAAACCACAATCCTCAGATCTCAGCTTACTGAGTACCTAGGATTTCATGCATGAATCACAGACTCCTGGCTCTGCTGTGTTTCTTTAGGTTACTTCACCCTCTTTTGTAATCTATTTGATAATCATTCATAATGAGCTCACACACACTTAGATCAAAGTCATACCTGTTCAAATGGCTTCAGGCCAGATTCCTTTCCAAGTCTCACCAAGTCTTCCAGGATAGCTTTCTTGACATCCTAATAAAGCAGGGGGAAAAATGAGTTCATTGTCCTACTAGTGGTCCTTTCTTACTCATTGGTACACTGAATGCAAGACGCAGAAGACAGATCACATACTTTGGAGTCCTACCTTATTTCTGCACAATTCTTCAAAGGATCCTTCATATCCTTTCTTCTGGGCCCAGGAAGTTAATACCTCAACATCTGGTACCACGATGGCTACAAGAAATGCCTTTAACACAAACAGGCAAGTCACCACGGGGCTCGTAGGTAGCAGATCCCTGGGAAAACTAATGACAGCTACGTCCTTCTAGAGACGACGTACATTCCTGCTAAACCACAACCTGTCTTCCTCCAGGAGTACAGTGAGCTTGGGTAGAGAACTTCCAGCTCCAAAACATAGATCAGAAAAATTTGCTGATGTTTTAAACAAAGATGGAGCGCAATGGGCATACATTTATAATCCCAACCACTGGGAGGCAGAGACAAAGGATCATGGGTTAAGGCCAGCCCACTTTTGTGGGAGATCCAATTTCTAAAACAAAAGGTCTCAAAACAAACAAACAAGACAAAACAAAAAATCCCCCAAAGAACTGTAGGTGTGATGTGAGGCCCCAATTCAATCCTCACTACAACAAAACAAAACAACAAAGAATACTAAAAATCAAAATATTTTTAAAAAATCTTAATTCTTACTTGCTTTCATGTATACTTTTATTAAAGGTATTTTCATAAAAAAAATTACAGGATCAAGCCTGGTGCCAGTGGCTCATGCCTGTAATTCTAGCTACTCAGGAGGCTGAGATCTGAGCATCCTAGCAAGGAAGTCTATCAGACCCTTATCTCTACTAAACTACCAAAAAAAAAAAAAAGCCAGAAGTGGAGCTGTGGCTCTATAAGAGTGCTAACCTTGAGCAAAGGAAGCTCAGGGACAGAGTTCAAGCCCTAGGACTAGCACCAAAAACACAAAAAACACCACCACATCAACAACAAGGTCAAATAAGCACACAGAGGAACAGAAATTGATAACTACTTGTAAAAAAAAGGAAAATTCGGGGCTGGGAAGGTAGCTCAGTGGTAGAGCGCTTGCCTTGCATGCTCACGGCCCTGGGTTCGATTCCTCAGCACCACATAAGCAAAAAAGAAAAAAAACCGGAAGTGGCGCTGTGGCTCAAGTGGTAGAACGCTAGCCTTGAGCTGAAGAGCTGAGGGACAGCCCGCAGGCCCAGAGTTCAGGCCCCACGACTGGACCCAAAAAAAAAAGGAAAATTCACACAGAATAAATTTTTAAAACTGTCTTAATAACAGCTAACTTAAACAAACTTACCAACCATTAAATTAAACTTATCAACAACTTAAATAAAAATCAAAAGATTCAGGAAACCTAATTTCTTCTCTTCCGGCTGCCATCCATTGGTGCACATACCTGCAAGCTTTCTCCATGGACAAACACCTGAGCCACAGGTTCACTTCGTATGTAGATGTTTTCAATCTTCTCAGGTGCTATGTATTCTCCTTGTGCCAGTTTAAATATGTGCTTTTTCCTGTCGATGATCTTCAAGGTGCCATTCTATTTATCAGAGGGCAACGGAGCTCTGAGTGGATCCTTGGCTAGTTTCCACCCAGTATCAACCCCAATACTGTACATATGCTTGATATGCAATGTCCTTCACTTCCAATGACATTCTGCAGAGCTCACTTAATTTTGCCACATGGCATGAGTGACTGGTCAGCCAATGCCAGGTTTTGCTCACTGACTTTGCTGGAATACACTTTATCAATCTCCTGTCTGGATTAGATGCGAACATAATATGGGCTCCCAAGTGAATCAGGTTCCTTGAGAGCAAGAGCACAGTCCTTCCGAAAGTGGTCTGTGGAGTAAGGGCTCAAGGAATGTGTATCATACAAAGGTAGACTCTTTTGTTTCCCTGAAATTGATTCCCAGGACTTTGGGATGCACCAATCTTCTCACTTATCAATAATCATGGGAATGCTAGCTAGCCCATTTCAAATGGGAAGTAGCAGGCAGAATTCATGTTCAAAACAAAACATATTTCTTATGGTGAAAGCCAAAATCCTAGCTGAGAATCGAGAGAGAGAGAGAGAGAGAGAGAGAGAGAGAGAGAGAGAGAGTGTACCTGACTGCTGCAGAAAATGGACCAAGGGCAAAGGGAAAAAGGAAATGTGGGGTGGCATGACCCCACAGCCTTCATGTAGCAGGTGGGGTGCTTTCCTCCTAGAACCAGGACCAAATTGAGAACAAGAGCGGTGACAACTTACTGGCAGCCATTTTCCAATGTCCCCTGTGTGTAACCAGCCATCTTTATCCAAGGCTTCCGCTGTTTTTCCTGGGTCCTTCAAGTAGCCCTTAAATACGTTTGGCCCTTTCACACATATCTACAACAACAACAACAACAAAAAGATGTTTACTGGGATTCTCCAAGGAAAGTTGTGTGTGTGTGTGTGTGTGTCCCAATCTCTAGCTAGAAGCCTTGGATTTCAAGATCCAGAAGGAGTTCCCAGAGCCCTTCTGGATCTTGGAGGCACCTCCCTCTCTTATGTCAGAAGCATCTGGCTCAATGCAGCCAGAAAGTCCCAGAGGGGATGAAATCATTTGAAAGTAATTAGGCTCTCTATCCAGGAGACAGCAGCTGCTAATAGGTAGCCAGGGTAGTTAGCAGATAGGAGATTGGCCCCGAGGATGAAACTGGGGGTGCTTTTGCATCAAGCTCTTGAGACCAAATCCCTAAGATGTCTGCGGAAGGCAGGCATTAAGGGAACCTCCTTCAACCCCCTGAAGGATAAATCCAAAGGGTTAAATCCTTCAAAAAAGAAGCCTCCAAAATGGTCAATGAACTCCAGCTCAAAAGCTCAAGTGAGCGGTGTCTGGAACTGTCTGTGCTCACAGTGGCCAAGTTTTACAGGAAAAGGGCAGGGCTGGCCAGTGACTAGGGGGCTTTCACTCACCTCACCCTCGCCCTTGGCAGCCATGTAATTCATTTCTTCCACATCTACAAGTTTGATAAGACTGCAAGGCATGGGGGCACCAACGTGGCCTGTATATTAAACAGAGAAGGGTCACTCCTGAATGCACTGTAATAACATCTTTGTGCCAAAGTGTTTTCATAGCAAATGTGCCTCACAGTAACAGCTGCTATAAACTTCTGCTAGCATGGCTACTCTCTACCAGGTAAAGGGGTAGGAGGACATTCAGAACCATTTCTTAAGTTTGAGGTTCTAAATGATCTCTCATCTCTCAGAGTGTAAAATGATTTAGCAGCTGATTACCCCCCTCCCCTCTCCCACTTCCACTGGTGGGGCTTGAACTCAGGGCCTGGGCACTGAGTTTCTTCTGCTCAAGGCTAGTGCTCCTCTACTTGAGCCACAGCACCAGTTCTGGCCTTTTCTGAGTAGTTTATTGGAGATGAATGTCTCACAGACTTGACTGGCCAGGCTGGCTTCAAATCTCAATCCTCAGATCTCAGCCTCATGAGTAGCTAGCATTACAGGAGTAAGCAACCAGTGCCCAGTTAGCAGCTGATTTGAAAGGTTAGAAAAAAACTTGACATGTTTTCTCAAACCTTATCCTCCCCCTCTATGATCTATGATCTTATTCCCTCTGACCCTTTCCAACCTCCAAGACATAACTTCTTAATGTCATTATCCTCTTTGAGAGAACATCTGGATTGTTCTCTCCCATCACCTGGCACCTGGTTTGGCATGATATCAACCTTTGTTTTTCTTAGGTACAGGAGTGTGGTTTACATTTAACTTTATTAAGATAGTACTTTGCCCATGGTCACGTTGATTCTCTTGTCCATGAGTGTTAAGATGAAGTTATCTTTTTTCAAAACAAAGCCACACAGATGCATTTTACCATTCTCACAAATAATTCTTTTTATATTTCAATAATTGTAACAGAGATCACCATTCTAAATTGTGTGACTGTTAAGGAACCTGAGGCTAAAAAGTACAAAGACACCATGAAGAATTCATAGACTGTCAGCATTCATCCCAGTAGAATGGCACCATTAGATGTTACAAGATGCTAAGATCTAGATTACTAACTAGATGGTGCTAATATTTATTATATAGCAAAGAAGCCAGACTTTCACAAAGGAGAGCACAGAAGCTTTCAAGTTGCCGAGTGCCAGTGGATCATGCCTGTAATCCTAGCTACTCAGGAGGCTGAGATCCAAGGATTGCAGTTCAAAGCCAGCCCAGGCAGGAAAGTCTGAGACTCTTATCTCCAATTAACTACCAAAAAGCTGGAAGGGAAGCTGTGGCTTCACTTTACCCCAAAACAAAACAACCAAAACAACATCTGGGCGCTAGTGGCTCATGCCTGTAATCCTAGCTACTCAGGAGGCTGAGATCTGAGGATCGTGGTTCAAAGCCAGCCTGGACAGGAAAAGTCCATGAGACTCTTATTTCCAATAAACTACCAGAAAACTGGAAGTGGCACTGTGCCTTGAGCTGAAGAGCTGAGGGACAGTGCCTAGGCCAAGAGTTCAAGCCCCATCACCGACCAAAAAACAAAACAAAAAACCAACAACTCTTCAGGCTATAATCTTAGTTATAAAGCACAATGCTATGCCAGTTCTTCATTATTTATGTGCGACTTAAGCAACAATTTCTGATTTCTTCTCAGAAGTGTGGGTCTTCATAGCCCAGGGATATTACTGGGATTCCATTCTGATCACAGAACTTAGCCCAGACAGGTTCTATATGTCCTTCTCTTTTCCTTCTGAGGAGAAAGGCTATGTTCACTTCCATCTGCATTGGCAATAGTCCCCAGACCCTTGCAGGAAGGGTACCAAGTGTAACTACATGTGGATTAAAATTACCAGCAGGTGCTGAGAGCCTGGTTCCATCACTGACAAGCTCTATGGGGTGGGTTAGACATTCTCACTCTGGTATAAAGGTTGTTTTCTCTCCGATGCCACTCTTAGGATCCCAGCAAATCCCCTACCATCACTCAGTGTTCCAGTCAGATCCTTAATTCACCCTCATATTCCAAGATTGGCCTGTTGTTCAGGAAACTCTCAGCCCCTTGGCTTAATTACACAACTGCAATCATTCCTCTAGCCTAACTCTGGGTAAGGAATGGCTTTCCTGCCCACATCCAACCTTACCTGCTGTCCAGTCTCCAGGCATACTCAGACAGCAGCCAGCAGTGCACTCGGTTTGTCCATAGCCTTCATAAAACTGAGTCAACAAGAGATGGGATATTATTAGTGGACGGATAAAAGTCCCCATGCCCTTGAGGGAAGCATACAAGTAGTTGAATTGCCTTTACTCCTGGGGAATCACTGGCTATGAAATCTCCTTAAATCAATAGCATGCCGTGTGTACACATCTCTATTCCTGACACTGAACACCTGCTATCACCCAAGGTTGGTTTTTCTATTCAACTTGCTGCACACAAGCCTCCAACATGTCAGCCGCTACCCACCTGGAAGGTGGCCATTTTGTCAATTCCCAAGTGTATTCTACTCATGTTATGTCACCAAAGCCCAGGCCCTCTTTAAAAGAGATTCTCAGCATGATTTGCAGGTATATTTATCACTTATAAATCTTCCCATCCCATCCTATCCTGTTCCATCCCGTGCCAGCCCCTCCCATCTCATCCCGTCCCATGCCTGCATGCCTGACATTAAAGGCAGGGCTTGTGCTTTACCTAGGAGAATAAGGGCACAAATAGTGGACACAAACATGTTTCTCCTGTGTAGGGTAAAACATATCTATGCACATTCGCTAAGCAACAATAAGATACACACTCAAGTGGAAGGACTGAGAAGACTTGGTCCAAGGACACGTAAATTTTCAGTTTGGTGGCATAAGTTCAAGCAATCCATTGTACCACATGGTGATGATTGTTGAAAATAATGTATTGATGATTGTTAAGAGAAAGGGTTCTATGTGTTCTCATTAAAAAACAAAACAAGAAACAAAACAGAAGTTGCTGGGTGCCGGTGGCCCACTCATATAATCCTAGCTACTCAGGTGGCTGAGATCTGAGGATTGTGATTCCAAGTCAAACCGGGAAGGAAAGTCCATGAGACTCTTATCTCCAATTAATCACCAGAAAACTGGAAGCGGCACAGTGGCTCAAGTGGTAGAGCGCTCGCCTTGAGCTGAAGAGCTGAGGGACAGTGCGCAGGCCCAGAGTTCAAACCCCATGACCAACAAAACAAACAAAAAAACAAAGGTTGAGGTGCTACATCCACCAATGAGCTTGACTTAGCCTTGATACAAAGTGTCAGCTACAGTTATGTGTACACAACTCACATCAGGTTGCAGACCAAAACTACACATTTGTCCATTGTACACACAGAGAATACAGAGAACTTTTGGTGAAGGGAGATCTCAGCACTCTAAATCCTGGGATCAGCTGAGACCCTGACATCTGCCTTACCTGACAGCCAAGGGCTGCTCTCAGAAACGTCAGCACCGTAGCAGACACTGGGGCAGCTCCTGTGACCATCAACCGGACTTTTCCACCCATGCTCGACTTGCAAGGTAGAGAGAGAAGGAGACAGTGAGGGTTACAGGTGGAAGTCAGTGGATTTCTCAAAGACACCTGCTGGGGATGCTGAGTCCTGTTCTACCAGCTCCTCGGAGAAGCGGAGAAAGAGAACAGAAAACCCACAGGTGTTCCCAACAGAAACACAAGACAGGGAGGGACTAGGTCCCCACTTCATTCCTAATGGAACTAAGCCATCATTTCTGCTTGCAGGAATTTTAGGGAAATAAAACAAGAGTGTGGTGGATGTATACCAACTACCAATATTTTGGCATTTGATGGGGACATAAAATTCCCTTCTAGAGTGACATACTACCCAGGTGCCAGTGGCTCACATCTAATCCTAGCTACTCAGGAGGCTGAGATCAGATGATGGTACCGTAAAAATAGCTCAGACAGAAAAATCTACTATACTCTATCTAAAACAGACATAGAGGTGTAGTTCAAGTGGCACCAGCCAAAAAGCATAGGCGCAGAGTTCAAACCCCAGTACTGGCATAAAAAAGGGACATATTTATTTTAGGAAAACTAAATGAAATGGAGAATTACAAAAGCTGAAACTAATGGCCAGATGGACTTGGAGAATAAGATTTGCCTATGGCTTTGTCTTTATTTATTTATTTTTGGTCAGTTGTGGGGCTTGAACTCTGGGCTTGGGCGCTATCCCTCAGCTCTTCAGCTCAAGGTGAGCACTCTACTGCTTGAGCCACAGCGCCACTTCCAAGTTTAGAGTAGTTTATTGGAAATAAGAGTCTCACGGACTTTCTTGCCAGGACTGGCTTTGAATGGTGATCCTCAGATCTCAGCCTCCCGAGTAGCTAGGATTACAGGCGTGAGCCACCAGTGCCCGGCATCTTTAATTTTTAGACATGTCACAATGAATAAAAACACACCAGATGTCATCACTCCCTTATCTCTTGTTTTCTGTTATTTTTCTCCCAGTACTGGGATTTGAACTCAGAACTTTGCACTTGCTAGGCTGGCACTATAACTTGAGATATGCCCCAACTCACTTCATATTTAAAAACTAGCCCTCAGCTGGGCATTGGTGGCTCAGTAATCCTAGCTACTCAGGAGGCTGAGATCTGAGGATCGCATTTCAAAGCTAGCCCAGGCAAGAAAGTCTGTGAGACTCTTATCTCTTATCATTCACCAGAAAACTGGAAATGGTGCTGTGGTGAGCTGAAGAGCTGAGGGACAGTGCCCAGGCCCAGAGTTCAAGCCCCACAACCAAAAACAACAACAACAAAAAACTAGCCCTCATAGAAATTCCAACCAAACACACCGAAGTGCCTTTCCATGAGAATAATAGCTACAGTTCTGTTTCTTACCTGTATTTTGTGGAAGATGAGCTTGTCCCACAGGCTGTTATTCCTAATGATGCCACTACGAAGCTCTGCTTCCTTCCTTTTGGAGGCAAAGTCCAACAGCCAACGCTTCAGTGTGGTGTTGGCTTGGGAAAAAATCTATTAAATCAAGAAATAGGGTTTTCACACCAACCTAGGATGGCTATAGTAGAAACTCATACAATACCAAGTGTTGGTGAGCATGCAGAGATGTGGACATCCCTGTGCACTGTTGGTGGAGAGGAAAATGGTGTAGATCATTTGGGAAACTCTCTGGCAGTTCCTCCAATAGCTAAGCACAGAACTGCTCTATGACCCAGCTGTTCCACTCCTAGGTATGTATATAAGGTATGAACATACCTGGCAGGAATGAAAAATTTGTCATACAAAAACTTGCACATGAGTAGTTGATGAATACTTTATTTGTAACAATACTGTGTTAATTCCAAGAGTTAAAAGTTGAAAGTACCCAAATGACCATAAATAAAGGAAAGGCTAAAAATGTATTCTATCAATACAATGGAATATTATTTGTCTATTCAAAGGAATGAAGAATTAGTATGTGCTATTTGGATGAGGCTTATAAGTGGGCTAATGAAAGAAGATAGTAAAGAAAGAACATATCTTGAAGCGAGGTTTTGCCTAGCTCATGCCTATAAATCCTAGGTACTCAGGAGGCTGAGATCTGAGGATTGTGGTTCAAAGCCAGACTAGATGGGAAAGTTCATAAGACTCTTCTCTGCAATTAACCACCAGAAAACTGGAGGTAAAGCTGTGGCTCAAGTGGTAGAGCACTAGCCTTGAGTGAAAGAGCTCAGGGACAGTGCTTAGGCCCTGAGTTCAAGCCCCACGACCAGAAAAATAATCATTATATGTTTCCATAGACAAGCCAAATCAAACCCTAGCTTCTGATTCAAAGCCTAGCATCCTTCCTCTTTGTAGTTTGCTGCCTGGAACTTACTCGGTCAAACATCCGGTTCAGCAGTCTTGGAACCACAGGGAAGATTGTGGGTTGAAGTACCTTGAGGTCATCCATAAGCAGCCTGATATCTCCTTGGAAAAATCCTATTCTAGCGCCATGACACAGCATCACACACTATAGGGGTAAAGAGACATAGCAAATGCTTCAGCACTGTAGGGGTTACACCATGTAGGAAGAGCAAGACAACAGACTTTGGGATCAGTGTTTGGAGGCAGTTGCCAGAAATCTCCAAATTTCCTAAGCCTAAGGGGTTTCTTTAAAAACTGTTTTTGCCAGGCTCAGGTGGGGGCAATGTGGGGAGGGCTTTCAAAGAGGGTGAATGAGGATGAACACGGTCAAAGCAATTTATTTACCTGTATAAAAATAGAAAAATGAAGCCTGTTAAAATTGTTTTAAGAAGGGGTGAGTGGATGAGGAGAAAGTAATGGAGGGGCATTGAGACTGATTGACATACACTGCACACATGTGTGGAAATGTCACACGAAAGCCCCTTCCTGGTACAACTAGTACATGCTGATAAAAAAATGTTTTTACTGATCACTGCCTTAACAACATGGAACGATTGCATTTCTCTTAATCATCCAGAAGATAGAAGAGTTAGTACGAAACTCAGATATATTTTTGATGCTCATCAGGGGTTCTAATTTAGCTGAGTGATAAACATCTGTTGAATAAATTACATGTTCTTCTATGTTCCAAGTATTTTTGGACTTCCCAAAAATCAAGAACTAATTTATTCTTAAAATAAAGATATAACTACTTGCTTTTAATCCAGGCTCATTAAAATCTCATTTCCTTTTATTTGAATCTAACTAAAAATTTCTGTAGCAACATTGAATATGCTAAAGTCAAAAACCAGGCTATCTATACTAGCATGGCTTGATATTTAGCTGCAATACATGACCATGCTTTTTCCCTGTCCAGGGCAAACTACCAGTCATATACCAGATGGACTTGACAAATAATCTGCCTATTTTAAGTGTTAAAAAAGGCCCAGAAGATGATGTCTCAGGGAGAACACCAGAAGGGGTGACATTGATCAAAATGTTTTATACTCATTGTACTCATAACTTATAGTCTAGAATTGTAACCTCTTTGTGCAACGAATAATAATTTTTTTAAAAAAGAAGTACAAATGGTCTGAAAGCAAAAACCAGTAGAAAAGTACACATGGTTGATTGTTGAAAAATGAAAGCTCAGGGGGCCTTTGTTGAGACTGGCTTGCCTACTGAGCACACCTCTAAAGCTACCCATAGCTGCATAGGGTCCACTGACAAGTATATAAATTCACAAGGTCCTCCGGTATATAAGAAGTAGAATAATGAACAGAAGATGCGATTTCATGATTTTGATCCTTTAGGCTCAGGCTTTTCTACCATCTCAGTTTATTATCTGTCTCTAACATCTAACACAGTGCCTGAAACACAGCTGTGGCTCAATAAATAATAATGAATAAAGCCTGCTCACTGTTTTCTATTAGTATAAAATCCAGAATTTTTCTAAGATGAAAACAAAAAAAAAAAAGATGGCTCTTGGGTTTTTCTGTTTGTTTTTGTGCCAGTACCGGGGCTTGAGCTCAGGGCCAGGGAGCTCTCCTTTAGCTATTTTGCTCAAGGCTGGTGCTCTTCCACTTGAATTGAGCTAAGAGTTTCATGGACTTTCCTGCCTGGGCTGGCTTTGAATTATGATTTTTAGATCTCAGACTCCTGAAAAATTAGGAATCTAGATGCAAGCCACCAGAGAGTCTGAGTTCTTGATTAGTTTTAAAATTAGCAGCTGTTTAGTTATGGACAGGATTGTCTAAATTATGTCCAGGCAGAGCTCAGATGAATACCATCCTGCTTTTCCAAGGGCCCTTAAAATAGTGGTTAAAATGAGCCTTTGGCCAACTGTGAATTAGCAATAAGCACAATCAAAGACAGAGTAGTCCTACAAAACCACAACCTAAGGTTTTGTCAAATGGAATAAATGAAGACCTTCCCTGTGCTTTGCAGTTAATTCTTCTGCAATCTTGACCATGCAAGTATCCCCTCAAAAGGCTGAGTCATTCTAAAAAGAAGGATTAAAGCTGAACCAGCCAGCCCAGAGCTCGAAGAAGGCTTTGTACTATCACTGCTAGTATGGGACCTAGCAAAGAAGTATCCAAAGCAATGACAATCTGCACATCTCACTTACCAACAAGATCTGCTCAAACATGTGTGCCAGTGGTAAAAACGAAATGTGTGTGTCACTGACATTCACGATAATTGCTTTCTGTAAAACACAACAACTTAGAATACAAACAAGTAAGCAATCAGGAAAAACATGACCCATGCCTACCTCTACAACTGCCTCAAACATATGGGCGAGAGGCAAGAAAGATATCAAAACATCATCTGAGGAAGGACTGATCGCACCCTGAAATCAAAGATACCAGTGAGGCAGAGAAGCATCAGGCCCTCTAAAACTTCCCAGTTCCTTTCACCTTCTGAGCACAGGTCCCTCAACATTCTTTTTTAGGTTTTTGCAATTTTTTTTTCTTTTCAGTTCAAGGAATCAAATGAAAAGCAGCACTTTTTTTTTTTTTAAAACATACTGGGGATTGAACCCAGCGCCTTGTACATGCTAGGCAAGCATTCTGCCATTCAGTCCTAAGAGCAGTACTTTATGCAAACAGAGTTGAACTCATTCCCAATGACATAGTACATCTGTTTCAGAACTTTGTTTTTCCTAGAAGGAAAATTTCCCCCAATTAGAATGTTAAAGGAGCATGTGCTCTATTTAGTATTTCTGAGTGATAGTTCCCTGTTAGTGCCAAGTTCAACCGCACCTTAAGAAATGGAAGATCAACCCCTCAATATGATAGCATGTTATGTTGTAAAGGGAAGGGGAAAAAGATAAAATCACCAAGATTCTTTATATTTACAGTATTTCAGTTCGATCAACATTTTTTACCATAAAGCCCTACTTTATCCCCAGGAAAATATCCCAATTTGTTCAGTGCAATCTCAGTTCAAATGTGAACTACATCCTAACTAGTATTTCTTCCTATGAAGAAATCAGACTCAGTAACATCCATGCTTTTTCCATCACTGGGGATGGAACCCAGGGTAGCCTGGTATAGTCAAAGCATACTGTGTCACTGAGCTATATTCCCCAGCATCCATACTTTGTAATTTTCTGGTTTAATACAAAAAATGCCCATTTTCATAACAAGTCTTAAAAAGGTGAGAATCCCCCTTGATAATGTAATGATTTGTTTTTTGGTTTTGCCAGTCAGGGGGCTTGAACTCAGGACCTCAGTACTGTCCCTGAGCTTTTTTGTTCAAGGCTAGTGCTCTACCACTTTGAGCCACATCTCCACTTCTGGTTTTCTGGTGGTTAATTGGAGATAAGAGTCTCATGGACTTTCCTGCATGGGCTGGCTTTGAACCACAATCCTCATATCTTAGCTGCCCGGGTAGCTAGAAGTACAGATTTGAGTTGCTGGTGCCAGTGTAACTGATACTTAAATCAAGTTTTGTCATTGTTTTCCTCAACAAGCCACCAATGCATTTTAAATTGCCTTTGAAGGCCTATTATAGTAAATTGAAACATTGCTTCAATAAGGTATTAAATGTTGAACTCTACTTACACAGCATATATCAAAAGAGATATATGTGACTGAGGAAGTGAGTATCAAGATTCCTCAAAAGCCAGCCTTCTGCAGCTACCAAAGATGCCCATCCCCAAACCATTAAGCACAGGCTCTTCCCATAGAGATTAGGGCTATAGAATAGCCCAAGAGACTGACAGAGCAAATTGTGTTAAATATGAAAAGAACATAAGGGAAAGGCATTATTCAGTAAGCACCTTTATGAAAACAAAGTTGAAATATATATATATATATGTGTATATATATATAGCCTTAGTATTAGCGACTGAGTTGTGCCCTCCTCCCAAATTTGTAAGTTGTGGTCCTAACCCCCATCTATTTGGAGGTAAGGCTTTGAGATCATTGTATTTGGGAGTTGGCTCTGATTCCAATACAGTTGCTGTCTCATAAGAAGAGGCAGAGATACCAGAGAGCTCTCTCTGAGCATGCGCAGAAGAGAGACCATATGAATACCAGCAAGAAGGTGGCCTCGTGCAAGCCAGGAAGAGAGCCCTCACCAGGAACCAACTTTGCTGGCAGCTGATCCTGGACTTCCAGCCTCCTGAACTGAGAGGAAATCAATAACTGTTGTTTAAGAAACCCAGGCTGTGATACTTGGTTATGGGAAGTCAGGTAGATTTAGGACCTGTGGATAGCAAGCTTGAAAATTATAGGAAATAAATGGAGTCTGATATGCTAATCTTTCTCATACAATGGGACTCAAATTAACCAAATTAAATAATAATAATACAAAAACTATCAACAGTGTAACATTTCATGGCTAACTAAAAGAAATTCAATTGCCAAACTCTAAAACAGCAGATAAAGGCAGAGAAAAGCATCTCTCCTGTGTCCTTTCCTGAAAATATTTATAGGCAGCATCTAAATAATTTCACTACTTAAAAGATGCTATAAATTCCATCACAAATAAGAGCTGGAGATGCAGCCCGTAACAAAAACTAGGTGACAGAAGGTGATCTTCAGCTATATTAAAATTCTGATCTTGTCTGGATTTCAGAAGATGTTCTTAAATACAGTGCAGACCTAACCCAGGGACCAATTACGTTCTTGAGGCCTACTGTCAATCAATGGATGTGAGGAAAGATGGGCAATATCCCCAAAAGTTACCTCTGTTGCTTTCACAAAAGCTGAGCAATCGCTCACTACGTTTCGATGAGTGATCAATGCTCCTTTGGGGTTGCCTGCAGAGCACACAGGAAACAGAACACAGTTAAAGACTAAGAATGCAGAAACTCTGTATACTTAGGGCCTCATGTATTTCTATTGTTGGATACTCACAGTAACAAATATTAAGGAACATTAAATTGCTGAGAAACCCGGAGTCCTTTCAAGGAAACTTATCTTGAACTATCATCACTGAGATGGGCAAATTTTAGGGATGTGTGCATCCGGAGGAGAAAAACTAAGAGTTCTGATGCCGTCTTCCCTAGGAAGATGGGTGAAGCTAATAAATGCCTGAATAAATACATGGCACTTATTAGATTCTAAGAACACCTTCTAGAGCAACAGTGGCACTTGACCACTCTACCTCTCCCACTTTCCTTCAGTCCATTGAGAGTTAGCTAGTATGTCATTTAAAAAGGCAGGCAAAGAGTCTGGCCTCCAGATACCCCTTAGAAGCAGTTGTATCTCAAAAGTTACCTGTAGTTCCACTTGTGAAACAAATGATTGCAAGATCTTCAGGAGTCGGAGGCTGAAGAAGAGTAAAAGAAAAGCTAATCTCAAAAGAGAATATAGCAAGCCATAAAGCATCACCTCCCACCCCTAAACTTCAAACCTTCTCCAATAAGATGAATAATAAAAACAGAAGGCTGTGGTGGGTGGGCACACATGTTTACCTTGGGCTTCCTTTTGTTGGCTCTTCCAAGGTCCTTAATTAGGAGAGAGAAAAATTAAGTGAAAATATTTTCTTAGTAATGTCATATCCAATCACTTCAAGCTGCTTTTACTCTGGGAAAACTGGCTCAAAGACAGCATAATGCTTAAATTAAACGAATGATACTTTTAACTAACCAGAGGCAAAGTATTTATCTCCTGTCCTAAGAAGCCATTTTTTCCAGTTATCTTCTTTCCACAGAAATGGTATTAGGATTGGCTTCTGAAATAGGATTTATTCAAAAGACAGCAGTCAAAGCCTTTTACTGCGCATTTCCACTTCTACTCTCATTTTCTATTTTGGCCTTTAAAACAGTGCTGCTCTTACCCTTAGATCTTCTTCACCTTCCCAGAGCGAGTGCAGCTCTGTGTAACATCTTCCTTGGGAGAAAAACCAACCTCTGCTACATTTAAAAACGAGTCATTTGAATGAGGCACCACTATCTCCACTCCCCACACAGCCTGAGAGGGGCTTTGAAGTCCTGTTAGTGGGTGTCAAACAGTAACAGAAGACCTAAGACCACTTCCTGAGCAGGCACAAAGGTTCAGAATGATAGATTCTTTTCTAGGTGTTCCTGACAAAGCCCAAAATGACTACCATTGACTTACTCTCCTAGCCATCAAAGAAAAAAATATGTATTTGTTGTCTTTTTTCTGTTAAAATTGAACAGCTTTAATAGGCATATGGAGTAGGCATGCCTCTCGTAGGATGAAAAGTAGATGGGCCTGACCAGCGCTCAGTGAGCCTTATCTAGTACAAAGATTTTAATCTTAATCTAGAACACTCATATCTGCACAGAGGGTTAACTAGGCTGGGCAAAGTAATGCACAACGGTAGTCTACAGAGGCTGAGATAAGAGGATCACTCGAGTGTGAAGAGTTCTAAACCAGCCCAGGCAACACAATGTAAAACTTCATTTCCAAAAAGACTAACTAAATCAACTAGGAGTGGAAAACAATGATAATTCTGGCAGTTTTTTTTTTTCCAGAGCAATCTTTAGTAGCTCCAAATTTCTATTTAATCTGCTCAAATTTCATAACTTCTGGAGAAGTCCAATTCTTCAAACTAAAGCTAAATAAAGCAATAGTTACAATTTGCTTTTAATCAGTGAGATAAATATTATCTAAACAAGTACAGTACTTGCTATGAAAGTTTTAGTTTTAAAACTGTCTTTTCTTTTTTTCAATTTTATTTTTATTTTTGAGCTTTTGTGCTCAGGACTAGGGCTTTCCCACTTGAGCCACAGCTCCCCTTCCAGCCTTTTGGTAATTAATTGGAGACAGGAGTGTCACAGACTTTCCTGCCCAGACTGGCTTTAAACCTTAATCCTCAGAATCTCAGCCCCCTGATTACAGGTGTGAGTCACCATTGCTCAACCTCTGTCTTGTTATTTAGAAAAGGGAAATTATAAAAAAAATAAGTTGCCAATTTTAGGGGATAGGTGACATTGAGATAGATGGAAAAAAGCAGTGGCTCACACCTGTACTATTCCTAGCTACTCAGGAGGCTAAGATCTGAGGATCACAGTTCAAAGCCAGCCCAGGCAGGAAAGTCTGTGAGACTCTTATCTCCAAATAACCACCAAAAAAACTGGAAGTGGTGCTGTGGCTCAAGTGGTAGAGTGCTCACCTTGAGCTCAATAGCTGAGGGACAGTGCCCAGGCCCAGAGTTCAAGCCCCATGATCAACAACAACAACAACAAAAGAGAGAGAGACAGAGACAGAGAGAGAGAGAGAGAGAGAGAGGAGAACAACGTAATGTAAGGGGTGACAATGATCAAGATACATTACATCATAACCTGATGTGTTGAATTGAAATTCTTTTGTATAACTACTGAAAGATAATTTTATTTTTAAATTCCTTGAATAAATTTGAGTTCTAGTTAATGATAAGCATATGAAGTACGGAGGGATAATAAAGTCTGTTATATTGAAAATGCATCTAAAAGTAATATAGATTGATGAATGAGTACAGGGTTAGAGTGATAGATTAATGTGTAATAACTCAAATATAAGAAAAATTTAATTGTAGATTCTTGGTGGTGGGAATACAGCTTAAATGTATAATTCAAATTAAACAGTTGACATGTTTGAATGTTTGAAATTTTTATTAATTAAATACTAACTAAATGGAAACATTCACATACCAGTGTTTCTGTTTTTCATCTATCGAAACAGATGTTAATACAAATTTGATCACACAATCAATGCTAATTTTAAATTTATTTCTTCAGATTTTCTTTTGCTTAAAAAATTCAAAAAAAAGCATGAATTCCCATTAAGTAGGTAAGTATGAAATAGTGTTTTCTTAAAAATAAGTTTAAGTCACTCATTTAAGTAATGCTTGAATTTTCAAATTATTTATCACTCAGCAGTCAAAAACTTAAATTCCTCTGTGTGTCTGGGGTGAGGGTCAGAAGTGTAAGAGGAAAAAAAAGATGATGTCATTATAAAAGAGACTTACAGGGAGAAAATACCAAAGTAGGGACATGCTAGATAATGGCTACATCGCCAGTACAACAAAGATGCATGGCACACATTCCATCCACTCAGTGCAAACAGGTACCTGCACACATACATGGCAGAAGCTAATTAGAACAGTGAATTTCCCTATCACCATGAGTTGCTTCAAGAAAGGTCCTACAGATCCTTACTTGCAGCCTCAAATTCTTTTCAGAAGGATAAGAACTATAAATAAAACTTTAAGACCCTCTTTATAACAGTTTTATAAAAATATTTACAATCTCTTCAGAAACAGCATGACTTAGCTACTTAGCCCACTGGTTTCTATGATGTAACTATAAAAAGATTCTCCTCCTCCTGCTACTACTAGTTTCCTTGAATCCAAGTCAGTTTACACGAACTTTACTCATTCTCCTCAAACAGTTACCTTTAAACTTGGGCTCACTGTGAATCATACATCAAAAATGAAAATAAGCCAAAGCAAGTATCTACATTGGGAATGCAACAGAAGAAGAGAATGAGGCCAATCTTTCTGCATGCGGCTGGGTTTCAGAGACAAGTCAGTATGTAAAAGGCATCCAGCCTAAAAAGGATGTTCACACATAAAACTTCCCCTGTCTGAAGCTGACATTCAGTTTCAGCATAGATTGGCATCATGCAGCAGGCTCTGGAATAAATACGAGCGTTGCAACTGACTTCATGAGCACAGACTTCTGCAGGTAGTAACACTGCCCAGACACAGAGAACTCTTTCAATAAAATAGGACTCCTGCTCAGTTTTGAATGGCTGCTGGGAACACTGACAGCGCTGTGGGATTACCAGTGGCGCTGGGTCTGAGATGGGTATGTGAGATGGGGCGGGGACTATGACTCACCTCCATGGCCTTCATGCTGATGATTTCCACACCACACTTCTTGCCTCGCTCCACCAAGTCACTGCCATATGAGTCCATGACAACTATGACTTTAAGGCCTGTTGTTAACTTGTTTTCTACACTGTCTAGTAAGAGTCTGGCCTTATCTGGCTTGTCAGCAAAAATCACAGAGAGTTCAGCTGTAAGTGAAGAGAGAGAAGGATAAAGAATAAGCTCTGGGGTGACTCTAATATCTGCCCCAAGAATACTGTAAGTACTACATTCTTCTTCTTTTTTTCTTTTCTTATTTGCTGGGGCTTGAACTCAAGAGGACCTTAATGCTTTTTTTTTTTTTTTTTTTTTTGCTCAAGGCTAGCACTTTACCAGTTGAACCACAGCTCTGCTTTCAATTTTTTGGTAGTTAATTGGAGATAAGAGTTTCACAGATTTTCCTGCATCAGTTGGCTTTGAACTGTGATCCTCAGATCTCAGCCTCCTGAGTAGCTAGGATTACAAGTGTGAGACAGTGTTACAGGGTGGGGTGGAGGGAAGGGGTGCTATTTAATTAGAAAAATAGATGTACAATGAAATGTAAAGTCCCTATGCAATTAGGCATACAAATATACAGCCACTGCATCTTACCAACAACTAGGATGACACACAGATTCCAAACCTACCTTTGTTGACTATGTACGTGATGGCTTCAGTTCCAAGGGTATCATACAGGGGAACCACGACCATGGAATATGTGAAGCATGCCAGCTCAGTGATCACCCACTAAATGGTAAAGACCAGGAAGAAAAGAGGAAGGCGTCCTATCAGAATCACTCCAACACTCCTCTGAGATTCAGTGCAATAAAATCAACATTTGTATGTCTATACTCAGTGCCATGTAAAGGAGAGCTTCATTAAAAAAAATCTTTCCTTCTTCTTCAAAAGAAACTGTAATCTGCCTGATAAAGAGAGGCAAACCTGTGAAAAGACGCTGATAATGCAAGCTAGTGAGCATGGGTAAGGGCAGCCAGGCTAGAAGGGCAGGCAGGCCGGAGCAAGGTGATTATAGAGCATGATGTTTTCCTCTTGGGCTGGGCTCAAGGCAAAACAGGGGCTGGCCCATATAGAACAGCATGGGAGTAATGGAATGACACCGTGCATTTCTCTAATAGGGAATTCTGTTTTTAACTTCCCCCTGAAAAGTGTCACAGGAAGGAAATGACAGAACCATTTCTCATCTTGCCACTGAAATGACAGCAGCTGAGTTACCTAGCTGATCAACATGTCTAGTGACCTTTGTCACTACACATATTTCTGCAGGACTCTGACATCTGTGCAGAAAAGGGCTCAGCTGCCGTGGGAAGAGAGTAAAAGCATCCCACTACTTGGGCCTGGAACTGGGATATTGTGGGGTATTTCCTCCCCCTCCCCCTGGAACACTTTAAGTTATCAGTATGGAGTCAGATCTGAGCCTCTCAGCAGGGGGCAGGTGCTTTGCATGGTCCTCTCTTTCCTGCTGCTTATTCTTTCACTCCATTGTTAAAATGCTTCATTCCCTGACTTGGATACGATGTAAGACCTCCTCACCCCTATTACTTTAGAGACTCTATTCAGGTATCATCTCCCGGAAGCCCTCCTTGGTTGACCTCCCATAATCCTGCCTTCTGTCCACACACATTAGAGAGAGCATCACCTCTGGGGTCTGTCTTCCCTTACTCGTGATACCTCAGGGATAGGACCAAAGTCATTATGTGAGAGGGGCTCCACATAGTGCCTCACATACAGTAGATGTTGAATTAACTCATGAATGTAGGAAGCTACCTAGTTCTTGTAGTAAGGACTACTCTGTGAGTGTGTATATCCATGGTAAAATTCCACTAGGGAAAATATACTGGATATATTTGTCTGGAATAAAAGAAACCAATTTCTATAAGCGTAGCCAAAGGCTAGCTGTGGGGAATGCTATTTTTTCCTTTTATGGAACATGAAACTCTTAAGAAGCTATTCTGATTTATAAAACAGGAAGTAGCACAGGGATTGTAACCGGGATTGGGTCTTTCTGGACACAAGTATGTAAAACAAGTTTGATTCCTTTAACTACTAGCCTGCTGACTGACCTAAGCAGCACCTCCAAGATGGACTCCTATTTAAAGTGACTTACATACAGTAGCTTCCCAAAGCACCAAGCATAGGCCTAAATATCCAAGTAAAATACTGTGTGTACATGAAGCCAGCTCATAGGGGTACTGCCCCCACAGTCCCAGATTTTCTCTTTGTCTTTAATTGTCTCTTTCCATTCCTTTCTCTTTCCATTCATTTCTCTCTCTCTCTCTCTCTCCCCCCAGTTTTTTCCTTCTCCCTCCACACCTCTCTTTCTGCTCGGGGTTAGCTCTGGACTCTGTTTCTTCTACCAACTGCTTCTGAAGAGTTGGCACTACAGAGACATAAGCCAACTCTCTTGCTTGTCTGTTGAGATGGAGGTCTTGCTAATTTTTTGTCTCCACTTCCCAGATAGCTGCGATCACAGGTTTATGCTATCATGCCTAGCTTGTTTTTTTCAGATTGAGTCTTGCTAACTTTTTTTTTGAGATAATGTTCTGCTAACTTTATTTATTTTTTTACTGTTATTATAAAGGTGATATACAGAAGGATTAGAGTTTGTTTGTTTTTTTTTTTTTTGGTCTGTCATGGCCTGAACTCTGGGCCTGGGCGCTGTCCCTTGGCTCTTCAGCTCAAAGCTAGTGCTTACCACTTGAGCCTCAAGGCCACTCTGTTTTTTTCTGTTATGTGGTGCTGAGGAATCGAACCCATGCACGCAAGGCAAGCACTCTACCACTGAACCACCTTCCCAGCCCCGGGATTAGAGTTTTAAGTCAGGTAATGACCATATTCCTTTTTGGACAATGTCACCCCTTCCCTTCCCTCTCTGTTTTTCCCTTCCATCCCCACCACAAGTTGTATAGTTCATTTTCAACATAGAGTCTAGTGAGTATCATGGCTGCATTTGTTCACCCTTTGTCCCTTCATTTTTTTTTTAACCCAGGTTGGCCTAGAACCACAATCTTTCTCCATCACTGTCTCCTGCAGAGGAAGGTTAGCTTGACTTCAAGGTAGTATCTTGTTACCCCCCTCTCCCCTTCCCACGCTGTACTCAAACTATGATACTCTTCTCTCTATTTCCCAGTAGCCGGTATTAGTAGGCATGAGCCATCATGCCCAGTCCCCATGTGGGTATCTTTCTAGGGCATAACACAAAGCCTTTCTCAGCAAAACTCAGACCACAAAATCTAGTCTCAAGCATATGCCCTCATGAACTCTGGCTCCTATCTCCCTCTACGGTTCAGAAGTCTAGCTAGCGTAAGCACTTAGTGGCTAATACCTCAGGTCTGTTTTGAGAGAAGATGCCGATGAACTGATCGGAGGAGGCCTTGAAACCCTTCTGGATCAGCGCTGAGCCTATATACTCTGCCAATTCTGCAACCTGAAAGGAGGAGGGGGGAAGACATCAGGAAACAGAATTAGACCCCCTGTCAGGGAACCAAGTTCACCAGATAACACAAATATAGGCCAGCCATCAAGCAGCAATGCACAGAGAAGAGCTATTCCTTTACTGAAATTATTATAATTTCACTGTTTTATTAGCTACAACTCAGAATTACTGGAACTGGTGATAGGCTTCCTTCTGAAAAGCAAAGGAATCTCAACATCTGTAGATGACATATGACTATGTCACAGCTTTCCATTTCCTTTTCTGTTTTAGTTTCATGTTATAAAAGCAATAAAGGGACATGGATCATTCTCTCTCTCTCTGTCTCTTTCTCTTTCTCTCTTACTCTCTCAGTGTGGGCAACTGAATCCAGTGCCTTGCACATGCTAAGGCAAGTGCTCCATCATTAAACTACATCCCAGCCCTTGTTTTTTGATACAGAGTCTCACTATGAAGCCCCAGGTTGGTCTGGAACAATTCTCTTGCCTTAGCTTCCATAGTACTGGGTTACAAGGCACTACCACACCCAGCGAGAGGTTTTGTCTTTGTTTTCTTTTATATAAAGAGCAGCAAAGTAACCAAAATTTATCATTGGTAACAAAAACACCTTAAAAATACCTTTAAAAATTAAGAGTAAGCTCTTCTCATTGGACTCTACAATTCTGTAGTTGAGTTTTTATTCTTAGCAAATCATGCAATCTTATAAAGAGGCTTCAAAAGGCTTTATGCACTTATTCAAAATGATCTAAAGTTAAAAACAACAAAAGCTGGGGTAAAAAGACAAGTGTCTGGATGGTTAAATTAGTGTGTGAGAAAAATGCTAATGAGGTCAATATGATCATTATGAGAAACAGAAAACTTGAGGTAATAGTATTAACTATTATTATGAGCAATATTTAAATAACTTTTAAAAATGGATACTGTTATAACAAAGTAAAATAGGTACATTTGCAAACATTAGATAGGACTATATACTGGCTGCTCTTAACCCACTCCACTCTCAAATTAATGAAAACAATTGTCAAAAATCCTTATTGACATTTGAATTCTCAAGTGTGCTTTTAAAGTACACACACACACACACACACACACACACACACACACACACACACACACACACGGAGGCGTGTAGGAAATACAGCCCCACCCATCCTCATCAGAGTCCGGTTGGTTCTGGGATGTGGAACCATCGAGCCCTGCCTGTGTGTGTGGAAATTACATTGACGTTGGCAGGGTGACAGCAAAGTGACTAAGTAGGCTGGGTGCCTTCTATTCCAGAGCCGCTCACAACTACAGGTGGCTCTTAAGGGGCTAGAATTTTTTTTTTGGCGGGGGGGTCCGGTCGAGGGGCCTGAATTCTGGGTCTGGGTGCTATCCCTCAGCACTTCAGCTCAAGGTTAACACTCTACCACTTGAGCCACAGCACCACTTCCAGCTTTTTTTTTCTTCTGCTTATGTGGTGCTAAGGAATTGAATCCAGGGCCTCAAGCACGCAAGGCAAGCGCTCTACCACTGAGCCACCTTCCCAGCCCAAGGGACTAGAATTTGAGGAACGCCTGCAATTAATTGTTTGTAGAGCTCATGGGGAGAATACACATATATCTATATTTCTAGAAAGATGGTCTATATCCCATCATTTAAAAAAAATCGCAGTGGAATTGCTAGCTTCCAAAAGGTCAGATTAATTGGGCAAATAAAAAATAAAACAAAAGCTAGGCACTGGAGGCTTATGCCTATAATCCTAGGTACACTGGAGGCTGAGAGCTAAGGATCATAGTTAGAAGCCAGACTAGGCAAGAAAGTACCTGAGATTCTTATCTCCAATTACCACTATAAAGCCAGACATGGAGCTGTGGCTCAGTGGTAGAGTGCTAGCCTTGAGCAGAAAAACTCAGGAATAGCACCCAGATCCTGAGTTCAAGCCCCAGGCCCAGCACAAAGATAACTAAATAAGTAAATAAATAAAATATAATAAGATTTAAGGCTATATATTAAGGTTGACATCAGTGAAGTCCATTTTATATCTTCCCCAGACTTCAATCTTTAGAAACTTCAAAGATTTTCAATCTGCCTTGAAAAATCCAATCTGCAACCTTGGTCTTCCCTCTTCCATCCAATAGATTAACACTAATCCTCAAAGCACTGGAGAATTCTTTGAGGACTTGAAGCCATCATACAGTGTTGTATCCAATATAAATTAACTTTTCACAGGACTTGGGCAAGTGTAGCAGGGACTAAGACACTACAGAGATAAGGAAATCTCCCTGGTCACACAGCAATGTTCCTTCCATCTTTGGCTAGGCAAGGCATGATAATTCACAATTTTGCTCTGGAGATAGAGGTGAATACTGATCAAGTGGAGTCTTTTGCATTCTCATCGCCCAGCCTCCGAGGAATAGGAAGAAATGGATGTGCTCAGTCCAAGAAGTCCTTGTCAGTACTAGCTCCCAGGTACGGCAAAAATGACAGTTCTCTTCACACACACACAGACACACACACACACACACATAGACACAGACACACAGACACACAGACACACACACACACAGACACACAGACACACACATACACACACAACTTTAAATAGAGAACCAACTTTCACCCAAAACACAGAGGCAGGAAGTCGATTTGAAGTCATGAATGCTACAGGATTACCTGCCTTGGAACCAGGGACAGAGAGCCATTTCCTGAACAGCTGTGTGGGAAGCAAGAGAGGGAAGCTGGCTTCCAGCTGTGCCTGCCTGTCCTGGGTTGCACTGCATGCGCTGCATGACATCTAGATTCAGTGTAATTATAACAAAACAAAAATAAAAAGCGATACCTTCCTGTTCTGCAACCTGACACTCACAAACTGTATGTAAATAATGAAAGCCACCAATCAGTGGGGACCAGAGTGGAAATGGTGAAAATACTCAAGTCCCAGTTTCCTTTGTATCCAAACAGCAACCCAGATCAGCTACTTCTTAGAGTAGCTCCAGGCTGCCCTAGAGCTCAAGATCACACAAGGGAGAGCTGGACCAGGACAGCTTTGAGGATCCACGCTGAATCAGATTGATGCAGAGGCCACCAGACACAAGCTGCTGTAGACCTTACTTCCTGTCCTTGCTGCCACTGTGCAGCCGTAACTTTGGGCAGGTTACACCTCTTCCTTAGATGTTTTCTTATTGCAAGTTGACGCTTCTGAGTTCCTAGTATCCCTCAAGCAGAGAGGAGTAAGCCCATTTGGGTCTGAGGAGACGTCATCTGCCTCAAGCATTTTGGCCCTAATTATCATTCATTCTGCAGTGTACTGAGCAGTCACAGAGCCAGGAAACGCACCTGCTTGTAGGAGAGCCATTCGTAGGGTTGGTTTGGTTTCCGTGAGCCTAGACAGGGGCCATTGTCTAAAAAACACAGGAAAAAAATGACAAAATAAAGGACAGTCCTAACATGTATGAACATACCTGTATCTTGATTCTGTTCCACCATATTCTACAAGATAATACATTATTCTACTTTAGTCCTCTTAATTAGAAAGGAATTCAGGTTAGAAATGTTTTCCCCCTGGGTTTTGATCTGAATTCTTTTATTATTATTATTATTGTTGTTGTTATTGTTGTTGTTGTTCTATTTTATTTCTTAAAAAGAGCAGGAGTGATGGGGATAAACAGAGGAGAAAAGTGGGAAATGACAATCTTTCTGGACACTCAAGTGAATTCTCTTTACTATACTACTGGTTTAGGCCAGGAGCCAGTAGTAAGAAGTAGAGCTCCTGTTGCCACGGAGTTTCAGAAGAGGAATCCCTCAAAACTGCTGGAAAGGGGCTGGGAAGGTGGCTCAGTGGTAGAGTGCTTGCCTTGCATGCATGAGGCCCTGGGTTTGATTCCTCAGTACCACATACACAGAAAAATCCAAAAGTGGTGCTGTGGTGCTGTGGCTCAGCTGAAGAGCTGAGGGACTGCGCCCAGATCCTGAATTCAGGCCCCACTACTAGCAAAAAGAAAAAAACAAAAACAAAACAACAACAACCACCAAAAACTGCAGGGGAAGTTTGAAGTATTCTCACTCTGAAAATGGAAAGAGAAATGAAGTTATTTATATGACCAAATTCTGATGACCCAAAAGATCAACTGGAATCCCATGAATTCTAATTCTATGGGTGAAAGCCTAATGGCCCAGAAACAAACTGAAGATGAGAATAGGGATTATCTATGAAAGCAAAAACTGAAGAAAAGATGAAAAAGGAGAGAAAATAGGGATTGTCTGTGAAAGCAAAAGTTGAGAATGCATTCTTATTCCAATCTAGCTAGCAAAGAAGCAGAAAGAGATCCCCCCACACTTGGCATCATCCACTGCAAGTTAGAATTCAGAATTTTGAATTTTGATTTTTGCAGTGGTAGAGAAAGAACTAGAACCCTGGGCCTTACACATCTAAGGTGAGTGTTGTACCTTTGAGTGAGATCTCCAGTCCTCATACAGGTGTTCAGATTGGGCTTGCATATGGGGTAAATGGGAGAGAAGGCAAGAGAATGGACCCCTCCCCCCAGGGGCCATGACAAGCCTGGCACAGTTATCCAGATTGTATGCCCTAGAGAAGTGTGATGTAGATGCAGATTCAATAACCAGTTATGAACATGGGAAGACATAGCCTGACACACTGACTTATTCAACAGAGAGAAAACAGATTGGACTCTCTTTAGTTCACACCAACTATAGCAAAGGCAGGGCAGTAGATAACTGTTTGCAGAGGGAGGGGAAAAAAAAAGATATCATCTATAGGTAATCATGCCATTTTATTTCTCAAGAACAGAGGTTAGAAAACACAGCCAATAGGGCTGGGAAGGTGGTTCAGTGGTAGAGCGCTTGCCTTGCATGCCTGAGGCCTTGGGTTCGATTCCTCAGCACCACATAAGCAAAAAGAAAAAAGCCGGAAGTGGAGCTGTGGCTCAAGTGGTAGAGTGCTAGCCTTGAGCTGAAGAGCTGAGGCACAGCGCCCAGGCCCCACAGAGTTCAGGCCCCACAACCAGACCCCCCCCCCCAAAAAAAAAACCACAGCCAATGGCTCAGAGTCCCACTGCCTGTTTTTGTAAACAATGTTATTAGAACACAGATGAACTCATTCATTCGTGTATTGTTGAGGCTCTGCCATTGACCAAATGGCTCAAGAAGACTGAAGTATTTACTATCTGGCCATCTACAGGATAAGCATGGCAATTCCAACTTTAGTCTGTGGTTGTGAAGCTCCAGGCTCACCTTGTAAACTAAAACATGTACCATATGCAGGCCCAGCTGCTAAGCAACATCTCTGATGTGACTAGTGCTATAAGGCCCAGGCCTTTTTCAAGGAGATGATAAAGTGCATCCAGGTGATGATAAGGAACCTTTGATTAACGGGAAACTCAGGTGAAAAATTTAAATCTCTAGGCTGACTTCTTTATCCAGAGACTGGGCTTTGCTCTTCCGTATTTCAGTCCTACAGTGTCCCAAGCTTAGGATAAAAAACATCTCAGGTTAAAAAAAAATAATGAAGAAAACAGAAACTTTAAAAACATCTTCTTTTAATCAGGTAAGTGTCAGGTAAAGATGTCTATACTATAAAGGCTTATTGCAGAAGTAGGCATATGATGCTGAGAGGGAAAAGGCAAGAAATGTGCCACTTGGAGGTAGGGGGTGAAAATAAGATGTTCTCGAAAATCTGAGAGATGAGTTTTATAAAATTAATAAGAACCCACCAGAATCATCACTGGCTGGGTGAAAGGGTTGTATGATCAAGAGTAGGAATAAAAGCACTCGAAGGCTGGGTGGGAGAGCACAGGTGGCCTTGTTTGAGAAATGTATTCAAGTGGAGGGGAGCAAGGCTGGAAAAGAGGACAGTATCAGCCTCCATGAATCTCTTCGTCATAGTTATTTCTAACCCAGGGTCAGTTAATAAGCCAAACATTTCCGAAGTGTCTCTGATGGAACACTGCTTCACATGATGGTTAAAAAAAACTCTGGACTGACTGGGCCCAGCCAAACAGGTCTCTCTTGACTATAGGAAACATTAGCACCCATTAGGAGCTAAAGCACATGTAGCTCTCCATAAAACGTGGAAACTTATTTGGTGAAGAAACCCCCTGGGACACAAGAAATATCCAGAGGATTCAATGAGGCCTGAGTTTGGGTCTGAACAAGTCATAGGAGGAGACAGAGGGCTTGAGCCATGCCAAGAAGGCACAGGATTCACAGAAATACACCTTTCTGAAAGGAGGGCTGCTCTTGCCTTATGAGAAACAAACAGTAAGCATTAGTCACACAAGGGCAGCAAAAACAGGCTTACTTGACACGTGCAGGCCTCTCTGGAAACCTTCATACAGGGTTCTAACATCATCATAGAAGTACACCAAGAGCTCATCGCTGTCGAGAAGCGCAGACCTGCGAGCACCATCACTGCCCTATTGAAAAGACCAACAGGCAGAGCAGCACGTTAGAAATGAGACGCCTACAACGTCCTGTCTCAGGAAGCGTACTCACTGTGGAATGGCTAAATGAAGTGAACTAGCATGTGCACGCATTCTCTTCTGCGCTTGTTTGTTTGTGGTGTAAATACTTAAAAGTTCACGCTCAGCAATTTTCAAGTATAGAATACATGTAATGAGCTGTCTATTATAGCCACTGTGCTGTAAAACAAAGCCCCCCAACTTGCTTCAACGTAAATACAATTTCTAGTTGCTATCACAACACAAAGTAAAAGCCGAACATACTCCATGCTATCCTTTCCAGTTACTGCTCAGAGTACTGCTTGAAGAATGATGTGCTGATGTGCTAACTAATGGGAGTCACCTGTTTACCGCGGGGAATGTTCAGGCTTCGGAGAAGCAAGACAACATGGCTCTAAAGTTTTCTTTTCCTAAAGGAAATTGAGGGGAAGAAAAGAGGCTGACAGAACTGTTGGCAGCTAACCTGCCAGACAAAGCCAAAGAAAAGGAGGAGTGGACAGGAAAATGCCACAACCACACACACTGACAATTCTCAATTTCCTGCCATCCACAGTATAGAACATAAGCTGTTTAGCCTCTGGTGGAAATGACACACCGCTCTGTTTTATTACTATGACAACATCTACATTCTCTGAAAGATTATTTCCACATTTCTAGCTCCTTACCAACTGCAGTGAAATCCATGAGAAACTTCAGTTTTTTGTGTGGCATTTAATAGTAAAAACCAGCAGCAAAAGATTATATGCAGGTTCAGGTAAGACCTGATGTCACTGGCACCGTCCTCTAAGCTGTCTCCATCTACTGACTCACAGGGACACCTGACATAAACTACTCCTCCCTGGGGATAAGACTGACAGACAGTTCTTATTCTTGTAAGCAGCAGCAGGAGTAGGAGCTGAGTCCTCTAGGAGCAAATAAATACTTCCAGGAGTCCAAATATCCCTAAGAACCACAGAAGCATTCATAATAGACTGATAAATACATACTTGGCTACTACTTCATATTTGCAATGATCAGGAATTTCTTGAGGAAAGCAGACAGAATTTCTGGCTTCACAAGAAAGGGCTCTCCAAAAGTGGAAGAGATCACTTCCAGTTTGAGGTTTGATGAAAGAAAATAGCAACTCCATGAAACAAGAGCAAGGTGTCAAAACAGAGAAAATCTGAGCAGCCAGAGCTAATGGACCCACACTGCATTCCAGAAAAGTACCAACTCAGAGACCCTTCACAAGCACACTGGCCCATGCACATATGCATGTATGTTAAACACACACATGCACTGTGCTGAGGATGAACCAAGAATTCATGCATGCTAGACAAGCATGCTACCACAGAGCTACATTTCCAAGGTGTTTTTTTTTTAAATTAGGGTTATTTACATCCTCTTTGCCCCCCCACCTTCCCTTTTAAGTAGTGATTTAATAACTACTTAAAATTATTCCAATGATTCAGAACTATATTAAGGAACAAACGACCATTAGCAGTCTAGTAAGTTCCTCTAAAGTTTTTCCTATGAGTACAGCTTTATGTAAACTCTTTCAACATCTATTATGTACTACATATGTTTTTAATTAATTTTTTGGGGGGTGGGTACAAGACTCAAACCTGAAGCCTTGTACATACCAGGCAAGTGCTCTGTCACTTAGTTACACTCCTTTTGCCTAACTTAATTTTTTAAAATTACCTTTAAGTAATTGTATAAAGGAGGTGCTCTTTAACAAGGCAGTTTATGAGTACAATGCATCTTGATCAGTGTCATCCCTTTCAACATTCTCAACCCCCTTCTGCTCCTCCTTTTCTTAATTTTGTGGTATGTGCAATGAATTCTTGACTGTATTCTCTCCCCTGCCCCCTTGTGTTCATCTATCCTTCTACCCTTGGACCCCCTTCTTGCATGTACCCCTTTTCCAGGTGCTCATTTTATTGGGCTTTGACCCAGTCTTTCTAAAAAATTATATTTGAGCTTTCCATAGAGTCTATTATACTTCAGTTAATTTATTTGTAACTACTTGCATACCACCTAGTGTATTTACATTCTATCTACCACAAATGAGGGAAACAATGCAACCTTCGTTTCTCTGGGTCTGGCTTATGTCACTTTATATATATATATATATATATATATATATATATATATATATATATATATGTTTTATTTAACTCTGTGTGTGTGGAGTGGGAGTCTTGGGGTTTGAACTCAGGGACTGGGGCTCTGTCCTTGAGCTTTCTTTTTTTCTTTGTCGCTTGTGGGGGTTGAACTCTGCTCCTGGGTGCTATCTTCAGCTCTTCAGCTCAAGGCTAGTGCTCTACCACTTGAGTCACAGCGCCACTTCAGGTTTTCTGAGTGGTTTATTGGGCATGAGAGTCCTACAGAGTTTCCTGCCTAGGCTGGCTTTGAACTGCGATCCTCAGATCTCAGCCTCCTGAGTAGCTAAGATTATAGGTATACGCCACCAGTGCCTGGCTTCTTTTGCTTAACTTTCTTTTCTTTTTTTGCCAGTTGTAGGGCTTGAACTCAGGGCCTGGACCCTGTCCTTGAGCCTCTTTGTGCTCAAACTAGCACTCTACCACTTGACCCCAGCACCACTTCCAGCTTTTTTTTTTTTTTTTTGAGTAGTTTATTGGAGACAACAGTCTAATGGACTAATTCCTTCCTGCCTGAGCTGGCTACAAACGTGGACCCTCAGATCTCAGCTTCCTGAGTAGCCAGGATTACAGGCATGAGTCCCACACCAGGCTCTTTTGTTTATTTATTCATTTATTTATTTTTGCTATTCCTGGGACTTGAACCATGCAGTCGCTGGCCTTTTAATAAAACTCCTGGGCTGGGAAGGTGGCTTAGTGATAGAGCGCTTGCCTTGCATGCATGAGGCCCTGGGTTTGATTCCTCAGCACCACATAAGCAAAAAGAAAAAAGCCGGAAGTGGCACTGTGGCTCAAGTGGTAGAGCACTAGCCTTGAGCTGAAGAGCTGAGGGACAGCGCCCAGGCCCAGAGTTCAGGCCCCATGACTGGACCCAAAATAAATAAATAAATAAAAATAAAAACTCCTGATTTGACCTCTCAAAATGTGTGACTTCTCTGTTTTCTCACCATATAATAATGGCGCTTCTCAATAGTATCTCTTAACAGAACTCTTTCCACATTCTGCAGACGGCTCTAAGAACTGAACACAAGGCAGATGGGAGTCAGGTATATAAAACACCAGCTTGTTCTATCAGTTGAGAACAAACAAAGGACTGTTGTCTGAGGAAGAAAAATTTTATGTGTGTAATTATTTCTGTATATAACTTATGATATAATTTTATAAGGTATTGTATAATATGATTTATATATGAAATTGCAGCCAGGTGCTGGTGGCACACACCTGTAATCCTAGCAACTCAGGAGGCTGAAATCTGAGGATGGCAGTTCAAAGCCAGCCTGGACAGAAAAGTCCGTGAGACTCTTATCTCCAATAAACCACCAGAAAACCAGAAGTGACACTGTGGCTCAAGTGGTAGAGCACTAGCCTTGAACTGAACGACAGCGCCCAGAGTTCAAACCCCACAACCGACAAAAAAAAATTATATATATATAAAAATTATATATATATATATATATAATTTGTGTGTGTGTGTGTGTGTGTGTGTGTGTGTATAAAATAGGCCTGGAATCTAAGAAGCTTAGGCTCATCCTAAAGCCAAGGTCTACCAGGAACTTGTTTCTTTCTTTCTTTTTTTGGGGGGTCCAGTCATGGGGCCTGAACTCTGGGCCTGGGCACTGTCCCTCAGCTCTTCAGCTCAAGGCAAGCACTCTACCACTGAGCCACCTTCCCAGCCCCTCTACCAGGAACTTGTGAAGGAAGGGAATGATGAGGGATGAATCACAAATTGGGGTGTGATCCTACAATCAGGCTATCAATAAGCATGCCAGGGGATTCCTCTAGACTAAGTGTCCTTAGAGAAGAACTATTCCAGAGACATTAAGGTCTCAGCAGGGAATTGGTAAATTCCCTGTAATCTTCTAGGATTACTGGAAAGAAATCTATAGGAAGAAATCTACCAGGACTGTAAGCAGTGCAAAAACCAAGCTGGACAGAAAGATTCCTAAGAGCCTGGATGAGGGTGCAACATAGATATTGGGTCTAATTGGTGCCACCTTGGCATCCTGGTAGATGACAGAGACTTTCTAAAACTCTTAGAGGTGAAATCTCACCCCCCAGGTGATAGGCATGCTTGAATTCCTAGAAGCAGGGGCGGAGACTAGGAAATAGGTTATTGGCTCTCCAAGGTGTTTCTTGTTTCCACAATGCCCCAGGCTCCAGCTCAAATGCTTCTTCTTGCTCAACCATTTCTTCTTCCCAGGGTGTCTGTACAGTCAATGAAAAGAGCCAGGGTCATGCATTCAAGAGCCATCAAACAATCAGTTCAAAGCCAGGGGAGGAGGTATTGTAGGAGCCCAGTAATATAAAAACTACCTTCTGAGGGTACCCCATTTGGACTCCTCTTGGGGCTTCTCTCCAAAAGGAAAGTTTCACCTACTTGGGGCTTCTCTCCAAAAGGAAAGTTTCACCTACTATAGCAGTCTCCTTCTTGGAAGAAAATTCCTTTCACTTTCAAATAAACTAACTTTCTAGGCTTTCCCTTTATTTACAATAAACTTACTCTGTTTACCTTAAACATTGTCTTGCTTTTTAATTCTTTAACAGGTAGAAAAAACAAACCTGTTCCCCCTAGGCAGAGTCAATTCCATCCATCAAATGGAAGAGCAGGGTTGGGGTGGGGTGTGAATTGAGACCAGAGATTTAAGTTTAGCTTGGATTTGGAAACCATATACTTCCAAGAAGGCTAACATCTTGGTCAACTTCTCAATTTTATGTCAAAAACCATTGTTTTAGATGATCATTTAGTAATCAGCTTCTAGCTGATTTAAGGAGATTTAAGTTTTTGGTGGCCTATAATCTTCAGTGCTTTCA